CAAGTTTTTATTGATATGAAAAAAAGCCTACAAATATTGCTCAAAGGTATCACCTTGGACAGAAATACAAAAATACAAAAATCCATTCTTTTGCAGATTTCCGAAAAAACATTGCACAATGTTTCTGTTTTTATCGCTTTGATTTCTCGAGTTATTCTTGAATATGGTCCGAAAGTAATCCATATGCTACTTTTGAAGTTGCATTGAAATCTCCAAAAGTTATGATTTGGTGCGCGATGTCAAGCAAGCAGATCATTAGTCCGTTCTTTTTTGATGAGAAGAGGGTGAATCAAGATAATTACCTTGACATGCTTGAAGGATATTTCTATCCGATCTTACAACAGAAACGGATGACAAAAGAGGTCATTTTCCAACAAGATGGTGCTCCGGTACATTTCTCAAAGGCAGTTCGTTCGTGGCTCAACAACAAGTTCTCTGGTCGATGGATTGGAAGAGGTGGATCCATTTCGTGGGCTCTGAGATCACCAGACCTCACCCCGTTGGATTTCTTTTTATGGGGTCATGTCAAAACGAACATTTATAAAACGAGAGTATAAGATATTGATGATTTAAAGACGAGAATAACTCGAGAAATCAAAGCGATAAAAACAGAAACATTGTGCAATGTTTTTTCGGAAATCCGCAAAAGAATGGATTTTTGTATTTTTGTATTTCTGTCCAAGGTGATACCTTTGACCAATATTTGTAGGCTTTTTTCATATCAATAAAAACTTGATGGTGATATGCATCATATGAAAAAAATATATTGATTAAGTTCAATGAAACAGAGGAGTAATTCAAAAATATTTTCCACAAGGGACTTTTGGGACACACTGTATCTAGGCACAGACAAATAGTTGCATTAGATATAGCTGATATTGAGTAATGATATGAATAACCACCTTAGAAACTTGTCAGTTACAAGGTAGATATTAAGTTATTGAAACTGACACTTGTTAGAATTCTACACCGGTCATGATAATATGATAATAATAGAATAGTCTTCTTGTTCTTTCCTCCTTCAACATAGAGATTGTCCCGTTTCTTCATTTCTCATGGTTTTGGAATGATATTGGATGATGTGAGGCCCCAGAACTGCTCTAGCTTGACTCCTGGCAATCTCAAAAGTGATGAAGTACAGGTTATCGAGCATACTAAGCCTCATGTTTGCTTTTTAAAAAACCTATGGATAGTCTAGTGTTACAGAAATTGTCGATTTTTTCTGTTTTCCCAGAAACCTACAAATTGTCTAATTCACTTAAAATCGATCAAAACAATTCAGTAGATCACTAGTTAACATGGTTAATATGCTCACGTAGTAAAAATGTGAATGTAATGGATGTTAAAATTAAAAAGACTTGAAAAACTTCAAGAAAATATATAGAGAGAGTAAAGAAGAGTTTTGAAATGATTTTGTTGAAAACTTTTGGAATACAAAAATATCATTTTTTGAGTTTTAAACAAAGTGAACATATTAATTATGTAAAATTTGAAACAACTGCCTCAAACTTTTTTCTTCAAACAAGCGAAAATCACATGTCTTACTCACTTTTTGTCTGAAAGTTATTCGAAAAATGATCAAAATTCATTGTATTTTGAAATGAATCATTTAAAAGTGACAAATTTTTATTTCTTTTTGTTTTTAGAACAAGATCCATATTTGAACATTCGACTTATGGATGTCAAAATTAAAGAAGTTTGCTTTTAGAAACATTTTTAACTAATCAATAATATATATGTTTATTCTAGTTGCCAGAAAACTATGTTGATAATTTAGAAAAAGTGCTCGATAAAGAATTAAATTATATTAGTAAGAAAAAAGGTCATCCATGTCAAAAAATGTAAGTATAAAAGATGTTGATTATAACTTCTTATTCTATATCATATAAATAAATCATTATAGTGATTTTTTTCAACAAGATGGTTATCCTTTGCAAGAGGGAAGATTCATGGATATTAAAATACGAGGAGCGTGCACCGATGAAGATACTAGCAAGGTATATCCGATTGAAAAAGCAACTATAATTGGTAAGTATTGCTTTTCTTTTAAAGAAAAATTGATCTTTTTTCTAATCTCAAATATCATAACGTGTAACAAATGACACTACAATCTAAACATCATTGTTTGATGTGAAACGTTTTGATCCCACGTCTTGCAGAAAGAGAAAATCTGCACAAGTTCTTTAAAGATTTTTTTTCTTGAAAATTCTTGATCAAGATCTTGATCAAGATTTATTGATACCTGTGCACTTGATGTCCTTGGAAAAACTTGATCAAGATCTTGATCTAGATTTACTACGGTTTCAAGTCCGATGTATCTTGAGAATTCTGTATCAAGATCTTGTTGTTGTCTCTATCACCGTTTTTGTTTTGTAGTGTCTGTATATATATATAAAAGCGTCCGCACTGTAAAATATTGACAAATCTTTAAGTATATTATGGACATAACGTTCAACTAAACAGCTTCGGTAGTGTCTGAACGGTACCGTAAGAGCTGTGAATTGTGCAGTACTGTTCGTACAGTGCAGTACTGCAGAGCGAGCGCAATAGAATACA